TATCTGAGTAAGGGTTAGTTGAGTTTGTGTCGCTGGTCCAGCAAAACGGACTGTATTTCACTTTTACTTTCACAATGCCCCACACACACACTGTGCTTTACTGGAAGAGCTGCTGGTGTTTATGGGAAAGCCTCAGACACGACGTGTTTATGACGCTTGTTAACACAACTGACTAATGACTTTTGCTCAGACTCATTTCTCAATGCCAGAATTATGCCATCCACTTCTCTGGTTTAATAACGGCAGATTCCCTTTTGTTCAGCGCTATTTCTCGGTCTGATGTTCAGCTGAATCAAAGCTTCTTAGGACCTGAAAAAACTGATTTGAAATACTCCAGAAAAGCACAGTGTTAAATGAGTTTTGACAGGAGAAACACAAGCGTTCAGAAACCACCTCTTTATTGTTGATATAAAAGAAAACAAGGGAACAACGAACAGCATTTGAAAACCGCATGTTATTATTCAGAAGCAAATAAACCCGCTTGTTACACGACGAGGCAAGTCGCCTCTTAGTCCTTCAGCCCGAGGCCAACCAGTCGCTCCAGTCTTCCAGAGACTTGGTGAACGCGGTGAACTCCAGAACGGGCCGGCACAACTTCTGCTGTAACATTCATATTCAAACTTGATCTTTTACTCAAACTTGAACACTCAGTTTAGATCTGATCGTACAAACGCTTGTACACGCAAGGTAAACAGAGTAAACTCATTCAACAAAGTATTTCATTGTTCAGTATATGTATATGACACGTGTTTAGGCAAAAGTCAAAGTTCTCTTCATTTAAAAATGAACGATGCAATCAGTCTTCAGAGTCGAAACACAGTTCCATGAAACAACAAAAAACAGGAGCGTTAGGCTTACGGTTAGCGTTAAAATAGAGGTACACACACACACACACACACACACACACACATTACAAAACAAATCAAGCACTTTCACTTGATGCCAGTGGAAAAAACTCGAGCACTCGGTGGACAAATGTACCAACGGTAGAAGCGTCCGAAACACACACCAGCAACACAGAAACGCCTGCGCTCGAGTAACACACTGCTCAGTAAAAGCACTTCAATAAATAGAGCACTGCGAATGAAAACCTTATACAGTAGGTACTGTACACACACTATCTCTAAACTATTTTGTACAAAAATACAATACGTTTGAGACATCAAAAACCTTATTCAAGTTTCAAAAAATAAATATCTTCTTGTTGCACAAGGTTATTTGACAGTCTAGTACCTGCCTCAGGTATCCCTATGAATCGTCTCCGAACGGATATCGATATATAAATAAAATAATCTGCATCTCCACGAACTGCGAGGCGTTGAACAGCAGCTCTGAGGAGCGACACTGGCAGATGATCACGATCCCGACGGAGATCCGTCAAGCGGATTCCACTTCTGTGCCGTCACGACAATCTCCAGAATCCCCATCCTTTATTATTGTTATCTACTAAAAGCATAGTTGTAGTTATAGTTCAAACCATCATGCTATAAACAGAGGATAAATATTACACATCATTTAATGTTTCTGATTCATGTGCGATTGTTTAGTTTCCCAAACGTGTCACTGAGACACTATATTCCGACCAGTATTCCTCCTCTCCTCAGAAAACAACATAAATACAAGTTCTGTATAAATAAAATCATTTCATAATTCATACAAAAAATAAAATACAAAAAAAAAAGCAAAATACTATTGATCAAAAGCCCTTTTGTTGTCGTTCTGAATTCAGGTCAGTTTTAAGCAACATGCGTATCTTTCCCCACCGCTCCTCCAGGTTACACAGCATTAATACTCCTCAGACAGCGGCAGAAACACACATCCGCCATTACTAACGCGGGAGATTACACATCCGCCATTACTAACGCAACCGCGGGAGATTACACATCCGCCATTACTAACGCAACCGCGGGAGATTACACATCCGCCATTACTAACGCGCTCCCGCGGGAGATTACACATCCGCCATTACTAACGCGCTCCCGCGGGAGATTACACATCCGCCATTACTAACGCGCTCCCGCGGGAGATTACACATCCGCCATTACTAACGCAACCGCGGGAGATTACACATCCGCCATTACTAACGCGGGAGATTACACATCCGCCATTACTAACGCAACCGCGGGAGATTACACATCCGCCATTACTAACGCAACCGCGGGAGATTACACATCCGCCATTACTAACGCGCTCCCGCGGGAGATTACACATCCGCCATTACTAACGCGCTCCCGCGGGAGATTACACATCCGCCATTACTAACGCGCTCCCGCGGGAGATTACACATCCGCCATTACTAACGCAACCGCGGGAGATTACACATCCGCCATTACTAACGCGCTCCCGCGGGAGATTACACATCCGCCATTACTAACGCGCTCCCGCGGGAGATTACACATCCGCCATTACTAACGCGCTCCCGCGGGAGATTACACATCCGCCATTACTAACGCGCTCCCGCGGGAGATTACACATCCGCCATTACTAACGCGCTCCCGCGGGAGATTACACATCCGCCATTACTAACGCACTCCCGCGGGAGATTACACATCCGCCATTACTAACGCTCCCGCGGGAGATTACACATCCGCCATTACTAACGCACTCCCGCGGGAGATTACAGTGCAAAAGGTCTAGGAATGCTCAGGAATTTCCCAACTCCAAAAGGGCAAAGGTACCAGTTAAAGTTTTGCACAGTACCACAATCCCTTCTCCATAGATGTCTCCACTTTGCTTATAATGTTTTGATATTACGCAGTAATGTAATACTTCTTTAAAAGTCTTGTATAAAATATTTTTTCCTCATATTCACAAATTGCACGATATCAAACCAACAAACAAACAAACAATATCCTGTAATGTGGGTATTGAGACACGGTGACGAGATTTCCACTTGAAACACATCAGATACGGGAGTATAAAGGGATTCGCTCCACAGATGCACGGATCAGGTGCTTCGGGAAGTGTTTGCATAATAGTGCATTGTTATATAAACACAAACTCCTAAAACATATAAAGTTCGTTCAGCGGTCGAACAAGACGCCGATTGTAAAGAAAAATCCTTGCTTCCATTCTTTTAAAGCGTCGCATTTACAAGTAAAAAAACAAAGAAAAGAAAAGTATTCAAGTGCAGAATTCCAAGCACAAGTTCTTGTTCCCTTTCCGATTATCCCGACCGCGGCGCGTTTGCATCCCTTTGGAGTTTTTCCTCAGGCATCCACTGCATTGAACAACTTCAATGCTAAAAAATAAAATGTACTCCGTACTTTTCAAGAAGGAAATTCCTGAAGAGTCGGAGACCCGGACTTCCGATCTTCCCCGACGGGGCGAGCGAGATAGAGAATGAGTGCGGAGATAAAGAGAGAGAGAGTGTTTCAGCAGCTGGTGTTCTCCGCGCTCTTGGCCAAGCCGGCGCCGACGGAGATCTGGCACCCGTTGCTCACGTGGCTCATGACCTTCTGCTTGAGCTGGGACACCTGCTCCCTCAGGATGCTGGCGGTGGAGGCCAGGTCCGAGTTCTGGGTCTTCAGAACCTTCACCTTCTCCTCCAGACGCGAGATCCGCTCCAGCTTGCGCTTGCGGCACTTGGAGGCGGCGATGCGGTTGCGGAGCTTCTTGCGCTCCGCCTTGATGCGCTCCTGCGTGTCCAGGTCGATGGGAGAGAGCGAGGGGGGCGAGTGAGGGACCTCGGGGACCGTCTGAGGAGCGTCCAGAACCCTTCCCGTGGGGTGTCCCGAGGCGTGACCCGAGGTGTGTCCCGGGGCGTGACCCGAGACGTGGGACGGGTAGGCCATCGGACCCCCCGGGTATCCCGACGGGAGCTGGTTGGGGTTGTAATTGCTCAGGTTGGTGTAGATGGGAATGTCGGGTAGGTTCCTCTGGTAGGAGCCCGGGATGGAGGCGGGAGGAGACATGGGAGCGCCGACCAGCTGGTTCTGCTTGTGGAGATCCGCCAGAGCTTTCACGAACCCGTCCGCAAACCCCTCTTGCTCGTTAGTGGCCTGGTTCCGGTACATGAAGGGATTAGCGGATGCGCTGGGAGCCGGGCTTGTCGTAACCAGCCCCTGGTTGGACTGGATGATCAGGTGCTCCAGATCCGGAGAGGACAGCTTGAGCAGGTTGAGGTCTGGCGAGGACATGTTGGGATTGTTCCCGCTCATGTTGGGATTGCCGTTCCCAGTTTGTCCCTGCAGAAGCTTCAGGCTGGAGGCATTGCCCCCGCTGGAGAAGTTATGCGGCATGTTGCTCTTCTTGCTCATAATCTTGTGGCCTTGGTATCGATCGTAATCTGGAATTTGCCCAAAGTTGGGAACGCTATCATCGTGATAGAAGGGCGTTTCCATCTTCCCCGTCATTGAAACAGCAAGATAGATTCCTCACAAGACATAATACGGCTAGAAATGATTGTTTTCAGCCATCTGCTCCTTCCACATGGGAAAATAAAAGTGCTGTTCAAAATTCGGATGGACGTTCCTCAGCATTAAACCTACAAAAGAGTAGATGAGGTGAAATTAATTAATGGAAATCAAAGTAAACAATTACTGTATAATTTCTAATGAAGCAAATAACACCACCGACGTGTTTATGTGTCTTAGTAAATTGATGTGAGCAAAATCCAGCATGATTGATCTCCATAGGGACATTCAACAACATTCAACAAAAACTACCCGCGACGCACGCACACACACACACACACACACACACAGTTTCAGTATCTACATGATTAATGTGTCATTGAAGTGATGAAACCAGGAAGCCTCGTTACAGTTCGCCTTCTTCCCGGCAATAAACCTGGACTTTCCTGGCTCCGTCCACACACAGCTGAGCTTCTCTTACACTTTCTCATTCATTTCAGCACATGGTCGTTAGAAAATCCCCAGTCAAAATCCCAAAGCGCGCGCGCACGCACACACACACACACACTCGCTCTGACAGAGAATAAACAGGCAGAAGCGCCACTTACTCGAGTGTTGATTGATATATAGTGATCGATAGTGAAGGTTCCCACCACACAATCCACTGCGTCAAAGCTCCGGTTAGTCACACAGTAAACCAGTATAAAACAGCGCGTCGAGCGCGATCTGAACCCACGCGCCGCGCCGTGACGCGCGATGAATGAACCCCAGCTCTTCTGCTCGCTGTCACAGCGACTGAGGGACTTTCTGCTCGGATGATTATTAATAACACACGCCCTTCTGTTCTCTCCAGTTCCTGAAACTAACGCGACAGGGCACGCGCCTCCTCCAGCTCGAACGCGTCGCGTTTATTGGCTGGTGGAGCGTCGCCGCGCGTGCACGCTCTGTTACAGGATCACGTGATTATTATACACTTTAATATGTGCTGCTGTTTTATTCAAATATATGCTCTAGGGTGAATGTTACGTTATAGTTTGTTAAATGCCAACCAGAATGCCGTCTGTGTTTTACAGAAATGGATTTTCTTGAACAGCTTTTGAATTGAATTGTGAATTAATTATATAGCCTATAGTGAATTATATTTCCAAATGCCTTGTAAACTAGTCTTATTTATTGAAAGAACAAACACTGTAACCACACATATAGTTCTGCTTAATCTTTTCCTGTGATCTGCTTAATATTCTGTTTTAATGTTTTCCTTCACATCAATTATTCATCAATCACATGTTTAAGGTATAGCCTACATACTATTACTCATATCTTTTTATGCATTTATCTCTCTAGCTCATACTTGGCGTTGACATTCATGCATTTGACAGATGCTTTTAACCAAAACAACTTACATTGAATTAAAGGTGCACATTTTTATCAGTTCTTCATTCCCTGGGAATCGAACCCTGGCGCTGGCGTTGCAAGTTCTGCTGTTTGAGTTACAGGACTGATTGCTTGTGATGTTCTTGGTTTGTAAATTGCTTTGGATGAAAACATCTGATAAATAAAATATGCACACATTGTGGAAGACACTAATATCACACACACACACACACACACACACACACACACACACACACACACACACACACACACACACACACACACACACACACACACACACACACACACACACACACACACACACACACACACACACAACTGCAGTTTTAATGACGAGTGTTTAGGGGTTTTATATGTGTGTGTGTGTGTGTGTGTGTGTGTGTGTGTGATTCCCTTCGGGCAAGTGTTTTGTGTATCTGACCAACACCAGTCCTGATCCTGATCCGAGCTGTGACCTTCTATCTCGACTTACCTGAGAGCGACCGGGAACACAAACGCGCGCGCGCGTGTGTGTGTGTGTGTGTCTAACAGAAGTTCACTTCAAGGTCATCTGCATACACCCAAACCTCTCCTGGATAAATTTAAAAAGAAACGATTGCGTATGCATACATTCTTCAGAGAGTTTATAGCATATATATATATGTATATTTACCAATGTGTTCTAAATATATAATAATCTATCAAACTGTAACGTTCACTTCCTCACAACATGCTTTGAATTTGTTTGGTTTCATTTGATTAATTTCAGCAATAATGTTGTGGGTTTTCAGTTCTAATGGAGAAAAATATTAAAAAACATGTTTTTAGAAATGATATTTTGCTTGTATATTTAAATGTTTATGTGTGTTGCCAAATTAAGTCACCATAAAATGAGATATTGTTTGGCTGGATTAGAGAAAAAGGGAGGAACTGGTAAACCAAATCCTGTGAGGGAAAATTTGGAACAGACATTTAGCATTTGAAAGGCTCATAGAAACACACAGTGCCCGTGAAGCCGTGATGAAATAATCTTTCGGCCCATTTCTGTGATGAGAAAGAGCTCTGGAACTCGTGCGGTTTGTGTCCATGTTTAATATCTCACTCTTCCTCCTCACTCTTCCTCCTACGGCTTTTCTCCATCATGAATGTCTGATGCTGTCAGAAAGACTCGAACGAAAGCAGACGTTCTTCGAAGGGCTTAAAAACATTTGAATGAGTTTCTGTCCCTCAGAGACACTGAACACACACCTGAGCTCACTACTCTTTCTTTTCACTCTCAGTGTGATGTTATCAGGCCATCCTGAGGTGACGGTAAACATCAGTGTATGGAGAAACACAGATCCATCACAGCTCTAACACACACAGTTCTCCGGAGAGCAGGGGAATAACCCAGTGTGTCCATGAGGTAGCGTCTGACGCAGCAGAGTAAACATGTGTTAATTCAAGCTTAACGTGTGTGTGTGTGTGTGTGTGTGTGTGTGTGTGTGTGTGTGTATGTGTGTGAAAGTCCAAGAGACTCGCAGGTCGTCTGTCCCTGTTTTACTGACGGAAGAATATCCATGAGTCTGATGAAACCTCAGAGACGACAGACAGATCCGCTTTTTGTCATATTTTTCAGTACTGATTGAAGTGTTATATATAAAAAATATATATATTAAGAGTCAACGTTTGTTTTGTCCTGCTGTGTGTGTGTGTGGGTTCCTCTCAGTTCTGTCTGAGTATATAAAAAGGCCATTTTCTTTTTCTTTTTTGTGCTGGTATTGACTCTGAAAATGATGCTAGATAATTTTAAATATTAATATATGAAATATTAACTAATATTAATAAGATATAATATGATAATATATTGCTTATAGCTGAATTGGACTGGTTTGAGCTTTACGCATTATTGAACTGGCCTGAATCAACACTGAACTGAGTTGATCTGAAGAATGACTCTATTTTAGGGCAGAATCTGAGTTTGTCTCATCCTTGACTCTGTGTGTGTGTGTGTGTGTGTGTGTGTGTGTGTGTGTGTGACTGTGAAGCTGCTGTGAAACGCTCTGCACTGGATGAAGCTGGAGAAATAAAGCTGTCGTGACTGTGCTCCCCATCAAGCGTTTAACAGAGATGTTGACTCGAGCTGCCAGTCATTTCTCTCAGGAATCCTGTTCTGACTGGATCTAAAGAGCAGAAGGGAGATTCGGGTTGTAGGTAATAGTTTCTGGAGACGCGAGGATGATTCACATGACGGAGGTGTAATCAGGGTTTGTTCATACATGTATCCGTCAAACCAGCAGTGGTTCCTCTGACAGAAGTCTCACAGAAACATCATGTGACGGATAACCAGATCTAGATGTCAGAGATCGATGAGCGGAGCAACACATCTCACACTGGCCGTCTTCATTATTACCAGTTCTAATGGCAAAATTAACCAGTTGATCGGCAGACCTTCTTACTTACGGTCTAGAATAATCAATCAATCACCGTAATCGTGTCTAAACATTCTTAGATCAAGACACATTTACTGGAGGAGCGAAATGGCTGAAGATATTAAGACTTGTTTAATGAAAAATGCATCAAAATGAAGTGAGTTTGTGCTTAAAACAAGAACTAATATCTGCCAGTGGAGTCAGAGAAATAATCTTAATTCAAAGGGAAAACATGATTATTTTACTCCACTGGCAGAGATTACTTCTTGTTTTAACTCTTCATTTTGATGCATTTTTCATTAAAAAAGACCTATTTCAGAATGTTTATATATTTGTACTAGAAAACAAGACTTGATTCTGATGGAAATGATCATGTTTGCAGTGTATACAGTCTAAGATCCACACATTTCAGCAGATTGGACCTTTTAGTCAGGAAGGTCTAAAAGAAGGTCTGTTTCTTTGAATTTATGTTCGTGGGATACAGGAGACCTTGTGATATTGTTAAATTTACAAGGATGGTTCATCGATATCTTTTCATCACAGGCTCTTTACTGTTTAAACACATCTATCCCACTATTGTGAACGAACGATGTGGAGTAAATGTGTGTGAGATGAAGCAGCTCCTCATCATCACATGACTCTCTCTCTTCTGTTGCCACAGAAACATCGGTTGAATGTCAAGTTTGGACTCAGCGCCGGTTTCGAGCTTCAGCAGAGAGAGAACAATTCAGATCCGCGAAGACGAGCGCGAGCAAACAAAGCATTGAAGATGTGAAGAGTGAGAGAGCCAGGAAGAAAAGAGCAGCATGTGTTGTGTTTGAGATGTGTTGTGTTAACCAGCTGAACCAGCGTATGCAGGAAAACCAGTCGATCACCCAAACCAGACACAGACACAGGAACATAACGGGTCCGTTTGATTGTTTATGTCTTGATTAAACATTAGTGTATTTCTCAGAAGCTTTAAAGGAGGAGTTCACTTCAGAATTTAAATGTCCTGATAATGTACTCTCCTGCACGTCATCCAAGATGTTCACGTCTTTCTTTCTTCAGTCGGAAAGAAATGAAGGTTTTTGAGGAAAACATTCCTCATTTCCTCCATATAGTGACTTCAATGGGGTCCAACGGGTCGAAGGTCCAGATGTGAGTTTCAGTGCAGCTTCAAAGTCTCGACACGATCCAGCCGAGGAATAAGAGTCTGATCTAGACAAACCAGCCGACATTTATAACAAAATAAACATTTATATACTTTTATCCACTAATGCTGGTCTTGCTCGAGCTGTGATGCGACACACGTTACGTCATCAGGGTGAAAGGTCAAGCGTGACGTAGGAGGAAGAACAGACCCAGTGTTTACAAAGCCGTGCAAAGACTGAGTCAAACGCCATTTACAAAAAATAAATAAAATAAAAGGTAAAACAATAACGTCAGATGATTTTGAAGTTGGAGGAGAAAATGTCCTAACCTACTTTCCATTTTCCTCGAAAACCTTAATTTCTTTTCGACAGAAGAAAGAAAGAATATCTTGGATGACGTGGGGAGAGTTAATTATCAGGAAATTTTAATTCTGGAGTGAACTTCTCCTTTAAAATAATAATGAAAGTGAAAAACATGCATGATGTAGTATTTTTCTGTAAAGCTTTCCTTCATAGATTTTGCTAGAAGAATCACAGGGTTTGTCGAACTACAGCACATGGAACGCACGGTTCTTTAAAGACGCCAGTGTTTCTCACAGCACATGCAATGCCATGTCTCGATCACGAGTCTATAAAAGCGTTGGCCAATCGTCATCGACTGGGAAGTGAAAAGCAGAGACGTGTGATTCCAGGATGAGATGCTCAACAGGCCAATGTTTACAGAAGAAACACAAAATAACTAATGCGGTCACATTCTGCTGGCCTGACATAAGGCCGTTTCACATTCGCTCCGCCAGTTGGCTTTCTTCCATCTTCCCCAGGCAACCGTTGATAATGATGAGCGCCAGGCTCCAGTGATCGACACACGAGAGCCTCGGCCCAGAGAGAAATCAATCATTCATCTCCAACCACACCTTGCTTCTGTTCAGTTCTATATGAGGATCTGGATCAG